TCGCATATGCCTTATTAGGTTTGCCTCTAACTCTGCTTTTAATTGGTGCTTCAGTTGAAAGGCTCGGTGTCATCACAACAAAGTTTCTCAAATATCTTATTTCTAAATTAGGTAAGTATTCCTGTAGCATTTCATTTAGTTTACATTGCATTGAGTCAAGAACACTGATGATAACAGAGCTGTCAAGGGTTTTTATAGGGAATCCACCAAAGAGTACAGCGTTTCTACGAGTCACACCTTCTAGACACAAACTAAAAAAAATTTGAGAGATTTTTAATATACATTGTACTATACTGTGTAACATTTTAGGTGACACAACAAAACATTGCTTTGAACGACATTGCTTTCATTATGTTGTTTTTATTTCTCTGAAGCAATTTTCACCAGGAAGCAAAAATAAATTTACTCCTAATTAAATGGGTTAGTTGACAATGCAGTGACAGTTGTCAAATTCAGAAACCTTAAGGCACTGTGAAAAAGTTTGGCTTAAAGAGATGTACAGTCACTAGTAGCATAGTAGTTGTCGTATCAGACTTATGATCGATAGACTCAAGTTCAAATCCAAACTTAGGCTGAACATCAAAAGGGTCAACCCCTACCCTGGGTGAGTGTGCCACAGACTCAATGGGAAGGCCAATTCCACTGGCCGAGATCCATTCACTAACGAATGCGATTTTGGGGGAACCTTGATAAAGGTCCGCAGGTGCTTGTGTTTGACCGAGCCTGGTTGACACCAGGATAGAGCACTAAACTACCATTTGATAGGAAGATGGCCGCACAGCCCTGTCATGTAGTCTGAAACATGAATATGACTCATCATCATCATGTTACTAGCAATCTTGCCATGTGTAGAATATAGCATGGATTGTTTTAATCCTGAAAAAAACTTTACTTATAATACTGAATTATTCTTATTTTGCAGGTCATTTATACAGAACAGTGACAATACAGCTCATACACATTGCCATTTTAGGACTCTTTATCTTCGTCTTCTTTTATATCATTCCTGCTATAATACTTGATGCCTTAGAGCCTCATTGGTCTTTCTTTGAATCTGTGTATTTCTGTTTTATATCATTAACGACAATTGGTCTTGGTGATTATATACCTGGAGAGACGCACCATCATTTTAAATACAGAGATTTATACAAAGTCTGCATTGTTTGTAAGTTTATGAATCAACACACCTACAAAAAAACTTCGAAAGGGGCATAGTCCTCATTGCTTTTCACATCAAATGTGTATGTTCTGTTGGACACAATTCAGTTGTGCAAAGTTGTGTTTCAGCAGTCAACACTGAAACAAGTATTAGTATAATTCAGTGTGCTCTGTCACCTAAATGTTTGCTGTGATGCAACTAGCTGTGCTAATTCATTGGCGCACAAAAAATACATTGACATAGTGATCTTGAAAAACATGTTATTAAAATTATGGAATTTGTAATTTGATAAAATGAAATTCACATTTTATAAACAAAATTAAGTTTAAAAAAACAGGGGCCACAATATTTTGTTTGGCCTTCAAGTCACCTATACAGTCGCATATTGGACAAACAAAGGTCATAGCGTCATGGTGGCTAGAAATATCGTGTGGGATTCGACAAACCTGAAAGTATTTTGGGGGATATTTCCTTGCTTAATAATTTGCTGTACACATTTGATGATGGTCAATTTTGACAAAGTAAGGGTATTCAAACGCAAAGATCAGCCTTTTAATGTGAGCTATGAAATAAAGAAACTAGAGTTCAAAATCAAATCGTTTGATCTTTTCTCACAGTTGAACAGAAAATCGGCATTTGTATTTGTTGGTAGACACTAAATACATGCAGGATAATATTTAGTTCATGAGTTTTATCACCATAATTTTCACACCAAAATTTTGTCAGTTTTTATGTATTTTCCAATTTTTGTGTTTTTTTTATTTTTGACCGAAAAGACATAATTTTCCGATGGTCACAGATTATACTGGTATTATTTTGTGAAATATTGGCGTTCAAAGGGTGAACACTAATATTCAATTATTGATCTGCATAGAGTTATAAATATAGGTACAATGAATACTACTATTTTGATTGTGTCTACAGGTTACCTGATGCTTGGACTTATAGCAATGGTTCTCATACTGGAATTGATGGTACATATCCCAGAGTTGAATGCAGGTCTTTTATTTATGATACCAAAACATGATCTTGGTGAGAATACAGAAGAGCAGCATTTACCAACTGAATCAGCATCTATGTATACCCTAAACACTGAATCGCAGTCAGATAATGATGAAAAACCTTTGACTAAAAATATCAAATAATAGTTATTATTATACATCTGTCACCGTAACGCCATAAGTTACAGTGTGCTGTAATTTTGCAGTATTTTACAGAGTATTTCATCCTACCATATAAGGAAATGCGAATTCCAAATATGGAATGATCACGCGCATAAACGTCCTCTAATAATAAAAACAAACATGGCTGCCACTAGGGTTTGACCGGACTCCATGCAAAGAAGTTCGCTAATTCTGTTCTAAACTTTTTAAATTTCGGCATTCCCATGATGTATCCTTGGTAGGAAAAGATGTATAATAATAAGGTTATTACGAAGATACCTCAAAATATGCAGTCAGACAGTACATTGTCGCATCGACCTTCGCTGTGTGTCAGTCTATACTGTTGATGTACTGTCTTTGTGCATACTTTGAGGTATCTTCGTAATAACCTTATAGTCTTTTTTGGGGGCTGATAGGAATATATTCTTGGCAGTACACTGCCATCATAACTGTGTGAATACCCCTAGGTACAAAAATGTGTATGACTTGATGGTACTCTGCCACACAAACATTTACAAGAGATGAATACCATACTGTGGTATAGTGGTTTAAAAATATTTCTTGAATTAAGAAAATCACAAAATAACATTTCAATGAACTTTTCACTTAAGGCAAAATTTTATTTTTTAAATCTTGACAGTTTTCAGCTAGATAAATTTAGTGGTGACCTGTTTGTTTTTTGTCTTGTGAATAATGTGAAATTAGTTACAATTTAAGAATATAGAAAGTTATACTGAATTAGCTTACCCTTATTCTGATACAAATCTTTAGCGCAAAAGACATACTTTTAGACCACATTTAATGATGCAGTCATGGAGCATCTTTTTGAGCTCCATAAATGAGGCTAAGTCAGAAAAGAATGCTATTTTAGAGTGTTAAGACTCATGGTTTGTTCCGTACACATTTTTTGCGGAGAGGTGTAATCAACTTGTATAAGTGTACATAAATAGAGAATTATTTATTTTTTAGAATATTTTTGGGTCGTTGTGGCTGCCTCAGAAAATATGCTGTGTTTTCTTGATCACTCAATGTGTTTCATAATACTTCATTGAAATTCTGCAAACACAGACGCAATGATACATGCTTGTCATCATAAATCCTGACTTATTTCAAAATAAATGTTTAATTAACACTCGCACAAAGCGATACACATTTTCAATGTGTGCAATATTAACATTCATGTACATTTAGGAAAACTTTTGATCTTATAGAGGAATGAGGGATGTCAGGTATCTCGCACATTCTTCCTTCTTGCATTACTTCACTGTCTTTAATGATGTCACTTACTCATCTTACGCAAGTTTTCACACAGCCTTGGTTTATGCGATGCGTCATAATGTTGGCGAAAACTTTATTCTGGTGAGTGGTATTTTCCAATGCAGATAAAGCCCTAAATGTGTTCATATGTAAGTGATTTCATTTTAGCTTGCAATTTTGAAACAGTCTTGTTTGCGCATAAAGAGCACATTATTGCCGGTCAATAGTTTGTATGTGCTATCTTCCCAGAAAAAAGTTGTCTGTGCGGGGGTAGTGTTTTTTCTTGCATGACTGTCTATTTGACATTCTTGTACAAGGATTATTAAAGATTAACCTTTTGAGCGCTATAATTTTCTGTTTTATGTATTTTTTTATTGGTATTTTTGGGCCAAATGGACTAAATTCCTCATTATCTTGATCAAAATTGTGGAAAAAAACTATTTGATTCAAAATTTGTGATGATGATTAAAGTTGACTCAGCACAGTCATGTTGTGTTGCACAGCACTTTCGTTTGTGTTATAAAATAAAATTCAGTGAATATTTTTCTTATATTTAACGCTCAACTTGTCAAAAATCAGTGAAAATAAATTCCATTTAAAACACCCAAAAACTCTTTTCAGAGAAAATTAATTCCAGCAAAAATAGAGTATTTTACATGCATTGCACGAGTCTTATGAAAACTACACCAAACACTCTGCATGAATGCACTAGTAACCAGGAGCTTAGATGCAAATAAATCTTGTGTCATTGTGTCCACCAATCTATGTAATCATATTTGGAACAGTGAACACTGTGACGGAAATAAACATTAGTATTTGAGGGCTGTTCTCTGATAAAAAAAATCTTGGAAATGTAATAATAATTGAAAAATAATAATTTCATTCAGAGCACTGTGGTATAAAAACAAATTCTTGGCAAGATAATATGCAAACTGAGAGACCAGTTATGAGCTTCGCTGTTGACTTTGTCGAACGGAGATTATCATATGAGTGATTGTCTGTCGTCGTCCGTGTCACCTTTTTACTTTTTCGACTTCTTCTTGAAAACTACATGCCTTATTGCTTTGATACTTAGTGTATGTGTACCTTGGGCAGACATCTCTCAGATTTGTTCATTTTGTGATGATATCTTCAATTCTCTAGTTTTGATGAATATTTGTTTCATTTTTAGTAAAATTTTATTTTTGAATTCTTGTTGAAAACCGCACGTCTGATTGCTTTTATATCATATACCGGTATATACAATGTAGGTACTGCATGTGGATCTCTCTCAGCTTTGTTCATTTTGTGATTATGTCTTAAATTCTCTAATTTTGCTGAATATTTTTGTCATTTTTGGTAAAAAGTGATATTTTCGACTTTTTGTTAAAAACTGCAAGTCTTATTGCTTTGATGTTATACACATAGGTACCTCAAGTAGACCTCTCTCAGATTTGTTCTGTTCATGATGATATCTTCAATTTTTTAATTTTGATGAATAATTTTGTTATTTTTGGTAAAAAGTCATATTTTTGACTTCTTGTTGAAAACAGAAAGTCTGATTGCTTTGATACTATACATATAGGTACCTCAAGTAGGCCTCCTCAGATTTGTTCATTATCTTCAGTTCTTTAATTGAAACATGCATTGCTAACAGCGGAGCTATCTCAGTCGACAGGCTGCTTGTTTGAATTGTTATTCAGGAAGTTACTACTAAAAAAGGTATAAAGAAATGTTGCACATTAGTTGTTAATTTTATTTTATTTACAATAGCAAAAAATATATTTACAGAGTGTGTTTGCTAGAAATTGTCCAATGTTTCACATTTTTAGTGTATTTACTTAATATATGTGGTAATTGATGTGTATATATGTCTGTATATATTTGTTTTGCCTCAACCATGAATATATGCAGTTTTCAAAGCTGCAACTAGAAGTTATTCATGTTCTTATTCACATTTTCTTTGTTGATTTTTCTCAGATATGTACATTCATTAAAGGTTAGACCATGTCTCTTTGTTTGGAATAGCTGATAATTTAGTTGGTGAGAAATTATAAACTTGAATTTAAAGAGAATCTTTTTGTCATGGAATTAGATCAACATTATGTGATTAATCAGTTAAATATGATTGATCTTCCATTTGTTTGGTTATGTAACCAACACTGATGTGTGAAATGTACAAGTTAATTGTTAACTACATTTATTCGATATTGCACAATTCACTCCATATATATTCATATATGCATGTGAATTGTGCAATAACTTGTGATGTCGATACTCTTAAGCAATTTGCTTTGAAACAGAGTGCATGTGTGGCCAAGGACAAAATGATGTTACCAGGTAGTTACCGATTCTGTGTCTGTTTATAGTGGTTGTTAACAATGGGTTACTAAATGTAGCACCTCTACTTCTTTTCTTATTAGAAGATTACTTTATTTAAGGCTATATATCTCAGTAATTAATTGTTATATGCATGTTACAACTTTAAGTTAAGTTTTCAGAACACAACCAATGTCAAAATAATGTAATAACAATAAACAGCGCCACCAGTGTTAAATTTATTGACCTTTATTTTGTGCCACTAGGTGGCGCTTTTTCATTACCTCCAGGATGAGCGACTCAAATCTTTGTGGATGGATGTTCGATTCCAAGTAGTAGTGGTTTTTTTGCATGTATTCGGTGGAAACACGGAAATAAGAAAACTAAAACATGAACAAAACCTAGGC